CAATGAGGAATGCCTCAGATTGTAAGATATAAATCATCGAAGTTGTTCGACCGCAATATTAATCATGCATCACAATCGTCCACGATCTTCATCAATCGATCAAATCATCTGTCTTTTACGATATGTAGAATTAATAATCGAGCAGAAATATCTCGATAAAAGTCTGATTCCTGAATGTCTTATCTGTTTTCGTAACATAGTCAAAACAATTTATTTCGCATTATCATCGTCGTAGAAATGATGTGTAATATTTCATGGAAAAATCCCTTGATTTCCAAATCCCTTGCTAAAAAGAAAAAAAAAAAAAAATTCCATCCACGAACAATAAGAAGAATTATGATTCTTCTGCACCGAATAATCGACGACGAGACGAGATCTCGGAAGATTATCTAGGTGGACGCAACGTAATGAATGGCCACGTGCATCAAGGAGTCGAGGAGGAGAGGAGGAGAGCTATATGCACGAGCGTTTAACATGACAAGATGTAACTAATTCAGGGTAGGTAGAACTGAGACGCCGACCGACGTACGAGTACAAAGGAGCCGACGGTCCGAATCCCTGTGCTGCGCCTCTAATCTGCTCCAATTGGGACGGCAGGAGTTAGAAGGGCCGATGTCCCTCCGCGGTGTATGACGCGTGCTACCATTTATCCCAATCATCGGACGACCGGTCGTTCTTAACGATCGACAAATAAAAACTACTCGTCATCCGGGCTGAGGAGGAAGCTGAAGCGGGGCAACAGGCCGCCCATTCCACACCTTCCACCTCGGATCCCCGCTCTTTCACGCATTAAAACATCATTAACTTTTCAATTTCCTCCCATATAAAATATGAGACCGCCCATTTTTCTTTTTTTCTTCTATTTCTATACGAACAATACTTCCGTACTACACGGATGGATTAAAGCGCATTCGAATAACGATTATCGAGTTTTATTGACCGCGTTGCGATATCGAGAAGATTTAAACATTTAATCTCGTTATCTTGGTTTCGTTGCTGTAGTGATACGCGTTTTAATTAATTACCTAAAAATTGATCGGATAACGTATAAAATATTTCGATCCCTGGTCGAATTAATCCCTTTCAATATCGTTATAATTCTAATTTTGTTCGATAAATTTTCAATAAAACTTTAGAAAAAAAACAGAAAAATAAAGAAAATTGAAATTAATTAAAACGATTACATTAAAACGACACTGCACATACCTGAATGACTTTTCGGCAGGGGTGGTAGACTCGTGACCTCGGCAGGATTTCCGAAGGGAGCCCACAGTCTGGGGAACATTAGACGAACGTTGCATCCTCCTGAAAGCAGAGAGAACCGGCGTGAAACACATCTATCGCATCCTCGAAACGCATAAACCCGACGTTGCGTGAAATCTTAACGAAAATATCGAGAGGAGAGGATATTTTTTTCGAATCGCTCATGCATCATTATCCGTGTCGCCTGCCGTGGACCAGCCGCTAACGGAGAACCACGAAAAGAAAGAAAGAGAGAGAGAGAGAGAGAGAGATCTCGAGCCGCCTGACAAATTTGGTATTCCCTGTTCGTACGAAAGATCAACCCCTCGACAAGAGCGTCTTTATTAGAAACGAAGGGAGACCCTCCTCTATTTATCAACGTTGCCCCGTCCATTATTCGCTCTCTTTTCTCCGTGGCTGCATTCCTATCCACCAACGTCCGCCATTCGTTCTCTCCCTCCGCCCTCTTTGATCGACACCGGTAGCGCGCTGGAATTCGAATTTTGCTCCGCGACAACTGCAATCTCTCGCAGAGTTATCGACTCGATTCTGATCGAATCAAAGCTCGATCTAAAATTCTCTCCAAATCTCTCTACGCGCAAGGGGAGGGGAGGAGAAAATAATTGACGAAACACGACGCGGATAATCCGCTCGGCGTCGATGATCCAAGAGCGATCTAAAATTCGATCGATTTATCAAAATTCGGATTCCGTTATATCGCGTTTTCTTCGAATCGGATAGCCATTGATTAAAAAGGGAATGAATGGGATCGATAGTCGAGGCGAGGTATGCGTATTAAGAACGTTCGAAGAGGGAGAGAAAAAAAAAAGATAAAGGAAAAAAAAGAAGAAAGAAAAAATAAAGAGGAAAGAAAGAACGAAAGATCCGTAATCCGGGCAATATAGCACTGGTCGGGATAATCTGAGATAGCAACGAGAGATTAGCGTGCCATGCCGCAAAGGCTATCTCATTCTCGCAGGATTATCAGAAATAAATCATATTTTCCTATAAAAGCGAGCATACCACGCGGCCGAGATAAGATGACCGCACAGTTTAAGTGTACAAATCAACATCGATACCGGCGTGTGTACACACGGTGCAGGTAATGCGTGTTTGTTGCCCGTGAGCATCGGCGATATCGCATCGTTTGCCAGTGCGACGACGCTTATCCTGCGCGTTGCCTCTTTCGCGATATCGTAAATCTATAAAACGGTAAATCCTATAGCGTGATTTCCGAAGGACAAAAATCCTATCCCGAGGACGATTTGCGGAGGCCACCTGCGTGGAAACCTGCGTGAAATTGACTTAAGGGCATGGTATAGATTTTCTTCTTTGGGAATGCGTGTTCGATAGAAAATGGGGATCCCTAGACTCATTACTTTTAGAAAAATGTATGCGTATAATTAATAAATATTCCTATAGATAATAAATTATCCTACCTAAGTTAATGTATCTTCCAGAGAATCTATTTAAGATTCTCGTTTGATTATTAAAGCTATGATTATTAATCATAATCTCGAATGAGTCTAGTAATAATGAAAACGTATTCTTGAACTATATATAAATTCTCTAAAATCGCGACAAGATTGACGAAAATTTAAATAATAGAAATGACAAATTAAACGACGAGTCAACGAACAATTTGTCGCACGATCTTCGTAACGAGCGTCTCTTCGAACTTCAAGCTCTGGGAAACGAGACACCGAACCACCCCCAAGGAGAGGAGGAACCCTCTCTCCTGCCCATCACCTGGCAATTATCGCATAAACCGTTTAAGCCGATTCCTACGCGCTACCGGCTTGATATTATTGCGTTAGCTGTTAGCCCGATTAGCGGTATTAGTATAGGTAGTCGTCTAATGCCCGTTCATCCCCTCTCACCTGTTGAACGACCGTTCTTGCGTGCCCTTTACGCACCTGCACGCACCCACGCACGCACGCACGCAATCCGCACACACGAAACCAGCTGTCGGTCGGTTACACGGGAGTCGAGTCGAGTGTGCGCGTGTACGTGCATCTCATCTCGCCGCTCGTGAACCAATGGTGAGGATCGGTGCACGCACGTTCGCCCGATGCGTGCACGCACACGCGTGCACACGCGCCGGGGAGGCAGCTCAGGTGTCGGCGCGAATTCAAGGGCGTAAACGGCGCGGTGCAGGGATAATGGGCAGGTAATAGATAGCATGATGACAGGCGACAACGGGATGAATGTCAGAGGGTGAGGCGCGAATCCGCGAGAGGAATGGAGAAACGATCGAGTTTGACGCGGTCGAGGGAAATGTAATTTCGCGATCCATTCTCCAATTACTGCACATAAACAACGTAGGATCGTTTTCTTCCTTTTTTCCCATACAATTTTGTTTCGTTTTTTTTTTTTTTTTTTTTTAATGAATGATTCAGTGTAGATTTTCGTTCGAATATCGGATATTCGTATAATTTTGAACGCGATAGAATTGAATTGGAATTGAAATTGAACTCGTGTTTGGGAATCGATGATAATTATACCCTTTGTGATTTCATAGGGGATGACAGATAACGAGAGCGTAACGAAGCTCGTTTGTTACTAGATTAGAAACAGAAATTCCAATTTGAACCGTGGCGGGGTGGAAACTGTGACGTAACTGCGATTTGAAACCGCAAACGATAATTCTAATTCGGTTTGATGTTCATTGAAGCAGATGGATATTATTCCGCACGGTCTTCCGATTATTATTCGTCGATGCAACCGATTCAAAATCATCGATTTTGAATACTTTTGAATCGATATGAAATCGAAGTCTCCGCCATCCTCGTCCTCATTTATATTTTTCTTAGATCTTCTTACCTTCTGTATCCACGGGAATCTGCGGGTTCTCTTGAAGCGAATTTTCGTTGTTATTCGTTTCCGGTGACAACGCTTGCTGATGCACCAGCGACGACGCCGATTGCTTCGGTTTGACAACGCGAAAAGCGGACGCCTCCGCGACACCTCTGCGCGAAAAGTCGAGAGGACCCACCCCTACAGGGGAGTGTTGCTGCTGCACTTCCATCATCGTGCTCGGAACAAGTTGGATCACTTTTCTCTTTCTACAACAATCCTCCCCCCACTGTGCACGACATCCGCCCCTCGTTCAAGGAGCGCGTTCCACCACCACGGTGTCAACCAACCGTTCACCCTTCGATTACTTTTTATCATATACAAAGCGTCAAATACGAAACCAAACAACAATATACACGCCGATTTAAATAAATCTCCCCGGATTAAATCTCCCCACTTCCTTCGACTCCTCTTCAACTGCGATCCTCTTCGAAAATCATCCCTTCCATCCTTCACCAACAACTCGTGAACAACAACTCCTCCCAACAACTTCCTTCGGAAAATTGATTCGAGGCACGCCAAGTGCGCGCGATCACTCTCCTCGATTTAATCTTCGGCTCGATCAATCTTCGGAGAACGGAAGTCGAATCAAATGTCGAAGGCGATCCCTGCCCTCGTTATAACGTTATTACGCGTGTCGAGTGGTTTCCGGCTGTCGGGTACACTGATTTCCGTGCGGCCCATCGGCCGGACAGGTCAGGAACGGCGAGCACCAGCAGCCGGGGATGCGAGAGACGTTATAGCGGGTGCCTCGACGCCGACTGCTGTTAACGGGTCTGATAGTGGAGGAACTCCCATGCGATGACGGACGAAAGTCGCGAGTCAGACTGAGAGAAAGAGAGGAGGGGAGAGCGCACACGGGCTTGATCATCTACCATCGGGTAGAGGGAGAGAAAGAGAGAGAGAGAGAGAAAGAGAGAAAGAGAGACTCCGAGCAAGGAACACCCACACAGATGTTGGATGCATGCCGGGATTTTCGATGGAGACTCCGCCTCCGAGGCACGCCTTCCAACGTCCCTACTCCACCCCCACGAAACCGCTCACCATGGCCCTGATACCAACACAGAGGCACGCTTTGGATACAGCACGAGGCGTACACGCATAAGCGAGCCGACGATTCCCAAGAGCTGATGCCGAGGCACGCTACCGACCACCAACACACGTTATTTCCCGCGGAGTGTGTGGGTGCGTAAGCACCGGTGGATACGTTTATTCGTTTCCCAGGTGATCGTGCGATGGTGATGCTGTTGCGTGTACGATATTCCACGTATGTGTGGCGCGTGCGCGCGTGTATGTGTGTGTTTGCGCGTGGAGAGAGGCATGGAACGGACACGAGACAAGGTGTGCAACGCTCTCTCACCTCTCCGGTTGCAGCATTATGTGGAACCACTCGGCCACCCTGATTCCACTCTTGACTCCACTGATTGATATTTGTGCGCCCTGTTCCTGCACAACCGGAAGTGGATGCACACCGTGTAGACGGTCCGTTTCCTCTACGCTCGCTGCATGCCGCGACGCTCTTGTGTGTATTTATTGAATTCTGGGGAGGATCGGACCACAAGCGAAACACGACAGATAATTTGAGGAAGTTTATTCCAAGATGCTCGAACCATCCGATCTCGTGATTCGTTATATGTATATGTGTGTGTATATATATATATTTCTTTTTTCTTGAATTGTTGAACACATGCAAGACGATAGTTAGATAAAGTTATGTGGAGGGTTGTTCGAAGCAGATTTCGTGAAATCTTCGTTCGTTTCTTTTTTCCTTTTTTTCTTTACAGTTTTATTATCTTTAAGATAAACAAGGGTATAAAAAGTTTAATGCGAGTATAATTTACTTGGATTTTGTCATTGATAAGGAGTGCAGAATAATAGATTTAGTATTTTATTTTTAAGCTTCTAAAAGTAGAGTAAAAAGAATTCTTAAACGAGCCTTGTATTATCAGTGCTTAGGTGCATCGATATAACAAGAACGAAACTACGTTGTTACGATTGCATCAATCACACCGCATTAATTTTTCGGCTGATTCGATAAGAAAAAAAAAAAAAAAAAGAAAACAAACAAAACACATTAAGAACAAGATTATCGATGATTCCGAGGATTTCGAGCGATTTGATTTTCTCGGGAAAATAATTTTGACCGATCTGTCTGATAAATCCCTCTTTTCTTTTTCTCAAACAAGTTGCAAAATCATTTTTTATCAAAATTTCATCGATTCACAATGTACGAACGACATTCACCCGTTCCAAAACGATCCATTATAACTTAAGCGATTACGTTCATCTTTTATTGCGTTCTCTTATTACAGAACAGATTATCCGAGAGAGAAGAATTTTTCACGTTCACGAATATTCAATTTTTTCCACGAACGACAAAAATTTTCTGACGAAATTAAAAAATTCGATCCTTCCAAACAATCAAAAAAAAAAAAAAAAAAAAAAAAAAAAAAAAAAAAAGAAAAAAGAAAGAAAGAAAGATTCCTTCTTTTATTATTGGCAAATTATTTAAAATTTATCCGAGGAATCACTGACAATCCGAGATTGTCAACATTGATGCCAATTCCAAAGAAGACAAGAAGACAACTCCAATTCACGACGATTGCTGCTCGACGCAGCAACGTTGTTTCGACTCGATCCACGAATCGTCGTGGAAAGCTTACATGGTAAAAACCCTCGTTCCCAACCAAGATACGCACGAAGTAGACGAAAGAAGTGTCGTCAGGGGCGTAGCTATCATGCCGGGACGAGATGTTCACCGTCAAGAGAGAACGACAAATCGCATCAATCATACTCACTCGCTCGCATCTCGTCCCTTCCCTCCCCGAACGGTGGTCCCAGCCTCGTTCTATCTTCGCCGAAGAAAATTGCTTACTCTCTTACCGCGAAAATAGGAAAACTCTCGACCTCGGGACGAGAACGAGCGATGTCCTCTCGAGCTTCGAGGAATCGGGCGAAGGAATGGAATGGAGACGAGGGGACAGAAAATGGGGTAAAAATGTTCCCCCCCTCCCCCTGGAACGAAATTGCCAAGCTTGGATGTCGGCGATGGGCAAAGTGGAAATCGTTTCTTAAAGAACACGCGAGTTAGGAATTGTCTTCAAAAATTTAAAACGAGAGAGAAAAGATATCGCGTGTGAAGAAAATTTCGCGAATGATTTTCTCGAAAAAAGTGTTGGAAAAAGGGAATATAAAAATGATTTTTGAAGATATTTATAAGAAAGATCATCGAATTTGTGAAACTTATTAAAAATTAATACGATTCCTTTGAATTTTTATCTCGTTCCCTATTTCGTTTCGAATTAAAAAAAAAAAAATAATAATAATAATAAAACGATTAAGTTATCGAAGAAAGACAGCGTGTGATGAAATTTTGAACGATTTGAGGATATTAAATTTGTATTACTCGAAAATGTACCGATATCAGGGAATATTAAACATCGATCGGTTTCGAGATACTTTATCGATTTTCTTATTCATCGCTTCACACACATAGCTATCAATCCGAACCTGCCTATACGTTTGTTTGTACAAGTATATACCGGACGTGATTTACAGGCTGTAAGATAACTTAATCCGTCAACACACAAATGGACATCCACGAACGGTTCAACGGTGAGACGAGTTTTTACTACTTACATGCCTCACCACTGTCACGTCTCGTCGAATCGCATCAAATATTATGTATTTGTCTCTTTAGACGAGCGCAGCCTTGAATCTATCAAACTGATTTGCAGTTACTTATATGCGTAAAGTGTAGAGAATATGCACAATCGAATATGCAAAATCAATCGAAATGAAAGAAAAATGAATTCGAATCAAAGTTTCTTCTTCTGGTAATGCAATACACATTTTGTTACATTTTCATATCGAATAATTTCAATAATTTCAATAATCGATACGATCCCATTTCGTTTCACTATCATCACATCAATCGTTTCTTTTAAAAATTATCTAAAAATTCACACAAGATTTTCGATTTTTTGCAACAATTTTTTTTCAACAATTCCGTTCCAAAAATTCCTAAACGCGATCCAGATATCGAAGCAGACGATTTCCGATCGAAGGGATCGAATAAACTCTTTTTCCTTTTTTCCTTGAAAAAGCGCGAGTAGAAGAATATTGTGGGAATCGAGTATTTCTACCTTGACAAAGTGGTTCAACGCGCCGGATACAGGAGACGAGTGGCTGGCGCCACGAATTTAACACTTGATTGTCCCCGTCGAACAATTGTTTCGCCGGTATTATAGCAAGCATCGTGTCTCCTCGAGTCAGACACTGGGAGAGAGAGAGAGAGAGAGAGGGGGGGGGGGGGGGGGGGGGGAGGATGATGTACCAGTAGGAATGACTCACTCCTCAATCGAGGAGAAAACATATTAGCGATTGTCTTTACCAATTGGGGGATGTGGGTGATGGTTATCGCCACGGCGGGGGCAGAAAACTATACGCGGTGAAACACTCGGTGAACGATATAATTCGTGGATATTATATACTCGTTCGTAAAAGAAGGCATCCACACGCCGGCATGTGGGCAGACGGTGCACACAGCCGTAGAGGAGAACGGTATATGGAAACACGCAGATGATACCCCTGCGGGTAGGCGAACGATCGTTTTACAGTAAGCCTGTTCGCTATCTGGAAACAGATACGGTGTAATTGGGAAGAATTGGTCTAATTGAAACCGATTAATCCGGATCTTGACGAATCTTGCGCGCGCGTGGATCGAACGGGCCGGTGATTTCGTTCGATCTCATTATCTCGGTATTTTTCGTCTATTTTTTCCATCGAGTCCTTCTCCTTCCCAAAGCAGAAAAAAATCGATTAAACGATCCTCGAGGCTTAGATCGCATCGAATATAATCGTAAAAAAGGGTCCAAATTAAATCTTTCGAAAAAATTTACGCGTGGACGGAGGAAATTTGGATTATTCGACAAACAAATGTAATTTTCGAAATCGTTAGTTAATTAATAAATGGTCTAATCGAGAGTAGTAACGAGTGTCAACAACGTTACGAGTGTATCAACGCGCTCGACGCTTCCTCGAATCCTCTTATCTAATCTTCGAGCGTGAAACGGTGGAACAGGCGCGATTTAAATCCACGAAGATGGATCGATGGATCCTCGACGTCGAGCATTCTCGAGCAGACGAGCCGTGTACGGGGATCAATTAAACGATGGAGTCATTGATCACGGCAAGGCCGTTCTTCTCTTCCTCCCAGACGAAAACAGTCTCGGGTCTGTCTGCGTCCGTCGAGCTTTCGACCGATCGAGCTTTTTCGCCTTTGTGAAACGAGATACGCGCAACTCGCTTGAACAAAGCTCGTGCTGCGTCATCCCGCTTCTTTTTTTTTTTTTTTTTTTTTACGAAACCACGCGAAAAATCATCATATCATCGTCTCGTTGGTTAAACGCATAAACAAACAAGTTGTTCCACTTAATCGCGATAAATCCAATCGTGCTCGATCCTACGACTATCTCGAATGATTTCACGCGCA